GAAACAAAGGACCCGCATGGTGTGGTGGTGAACGCGTTACTCCCCGGAAAGGTCAATAGCGCGTTCGTTCCCCACCATAGACACCTGCGGTCCAGAGTTTTGCAAATATCTCAGCAACGTTGTGGTTGTATTTCGCTTAGTAACCTGCCGTGAAAATTATAGAAGGCAGAAAACAAAACGTTAAACATAATAATTAAAAAGCTTCGCGAAATCATATGTTGCTTTACTGGCTTGAGCGACGTCAACCGAAATATAGTAAAAAGGAAAGGTGTTCGATGGCTGGTAATTTCTTCGACTCTGAAGTAGACAGTGGTGAGGAAGCGTTAATCAGTATTACCTGTCGTCACTTTAATCGTCGAGTGATTCGAGCAGCAGCGAGCAATCCATTTCTCAGTGACGCGTGCAAGAGTGGCGCAGTGGGTTCTGTTCACACTAAGAAGTCTTTGAGCGTCATATCTTTTTCTAGGCTTTTCGTGAGGAACTCTAAGCAAAGAGGTGGTGGTCTTCCTGCAGTGCGTTTAATATCGGGAGGAATTCTGTGGCTAATGTATCTTGTCCATCGGTTTACCCTTTTATCATTTAATTTGTTTAGGTGACGTATAGCAAAGTCGTAGTAATGCCGAACATCACTAGTGCGGTACTGCTTCGACGCTGTACCAGGCTCACCAAAACTCTCATCCCTCCGAGGTCAAGGGGAAATTAGGTTTGCCAGTGAAAAAACCACCATGTGCAGCTCAATTGGGAAGACTCAAGCGCGGCTTTCTCAAGTCACCAGGAAAAACAGAATCAACAAGCATTCTACCACATTCAAAATAAAATGGAAATCCTCAAGCAGCAGCCAAAGCCACACGTGAGAGTTGATGGAGCCCTTTCGGTGATAGATGCGAGGAAACCAATTGAATGCGAGAAATGAGGGATACACACAGTAGACATGAAGAAAGGTCGAATGAAATAATACAGAAAAATATTTCCTAAGATCGAGTTTCTATTAACACCGGCATTGGATTATAAATCTGTTGTTCCCTTTCTTACAGCAATCGCGAGGTTGTTGTTTAGCACACGTTTACTTCCTAACAAGTATAACGCATACAACACAAGTGTAGCATTGCCTTCTTCAGAGCCTGGAAAGGTGCAATAATATGTAATTTACTAGGTCATACGCTTCAGCAGCACAAACAGAAGGCTGAAAATCTGAACAATAATTGCAAGTCGTATGAAATACTGAGATATTTGCAAAACTCCGGACCGCAGGTGTAAGCAGTGGGGAACGAACACGCACTGTTGCCCTTACCGGGGAGCAGCGCACTTCACCACTACACCATCCGGGTCCTTCGACTTGCCTGTCTCTCAGCTAGTTCTTTTTGCCATCAGCAATCACCCGTCAAAGGAATTGATCTGGGGATTGATCTCACAACAGCGCGTGTTCGTTCCCCACTGCGTACACCTGCGGACCGGAGTTTTGCTAATATCTCAGCATTTTATACGAGTTATATTTCGCAGCATACCCTGCCATTAAGAAGAAAAAAACGCAGTAAATAAAAGGGTTAAGATAATAATTACAAGATCTACGGCTTCTCGAAAAACCCACCGTTTTTACCTGCCTTCCACCGAGGAAGAACAGCCACTTAGAGTCGCATATGGTTGATTACTGCACCACTCTACCTCAAAAATCAACTCTGAGATACAGGGCTAGATCACGCGTTATCTCAGGGCATTCTCTACTATTTATTATCGGATTTTTGGCATTTGTTCGAAAAGTCTCGAGAAATTTGTGCGTTGATGTTTTAGGATCCCGTGCGAGGATCGCGACTTTTACATCAAAATCTTCCCCGCTATGCTTTTGTATCCTAAGCGTCCCTAGCGGCGTACCTTGCCTTAGCTTTCGTCTGCCATCTAGGTGTTCTTTCGTGCAGATACATAAAGGTCTGCTCATTTCGCCAATATATTCATCTCCGCAAGTACCACAAGAGATCAGATATAGCGTACCTGAACTTATGCAATCACCGTCTTTGCCGTAAGGGCAAATTACGCAATTTGTTGTTTCATATAGACGGTCATACAGGCGGTTACGAACTAACTGACGACGTAGAATATTTGGTATTACGAAGGAGGTATTTCAATTATAGCTACCGATTCCTCTAGATATGTCCTTCTTACGCATCGCTTCATCGCCTCACTTATTTCATCGCTAATGAAGGGCGAGATAAACGGGACCTTGTTTCGGCCAAGCCGTTCGTTTTGGAGTGTCGCTCTCCTTCAAAACTTATCTCGTGGGGTTAAAATTTCGTAGCCATTGGAGAGTCAAGTTGCGCAGTTCTTCTTTTAGTTCCCTACTTCTGCACACAATGATGGCAGCTCGAAACATGTTTCTCACATGCGCCCCTTTTGTGTGTAAAGGATGGGAAGAAAGGAATGAACGAGGATGTTCTTGTTACTTGGCTTTCGGTACCACTTTGTCATGTAGCCGCTACCTGATGGGTTTATTTAAACGCTTAAAAAACGGAAGCCAGTTTTTTCTCGGGCTCTCCCGGGTAAACTTTACGTATTCAGACTGCTTGTTCAATAATTCAAAGCATTTGCCCATCTCCTCCTGCGTAAAGAAGATAACAAAACAATCATCTATGTACCTGCAGTAGTGTAGTGGCCGGAGACCGAGAACGAGAGCTTCTTCTTTAGACATAAACGCAATGGCAAGCCAGTGGTTGCCCCTTGCCAATCCCCTTATTTGCGCTCCATATTTCCGAGATCAGCTGAAAATCGGGCAGTTCAGGCGCTCTTTTAAGAAAGCAATAAGCTGGTGGATGGACAAGCCATGCATGTTTCTTCTTCCTTCATATTCAACAAGAAGTGCTAAGATAGCTTGCATTGCGGAGTCATTCGATACGTTGGTGTAAAACGCGGTAACGTCGAAGGACTCCATCACGTACGCGTTATTAGGAGACTCGTTACGTAGACGTTCTAGGAACATCTGTGTTTGTGAGGTGAGCTGGAAAATGTTTAAGCAACTGGACTAGTATTAGGCCTAGAAACCAGGTTATGATATCCGTTGGCCCGTCTGCACAGCTAATGTTGGGTCTAACCTTAAATGATGACGGATTGACTGACACAAGATTATCAGGGGATACCTAGTTATGTGCTTTAATAAGTAAGTATGAAACGAGGCATGTTGGTCTGTTGACTAATTGACTGACTGACTACTAATTAATATTGGTCTACATTTGTTTAGAACAAACTTGTCAAGAAATCGAAGCCGGAATTCGAACGACGCAGGTTTCACCAAACACGCAACGTGATAGGGCAGAATTCAAACCTCATTGGTAAAGATTTGAGTATTCTAGTGGCTTCCCTTCCAATTGATAGAGATCGCTGCCAGCTGGGATATGTTGGCTTAGAATTGAACACGATAGTTTTAATCGCATCGCTTTACTATGAAGTCACGTTTTTGTGAAAATGCCAAAAGAGATAGGGAAAACTGGCTAACCACATGAAATTCTCAATGGCGATAGAGCACGACTAATACTCTGCAAAAAGTTCCCTATCGTGCCATTGCTATGCATGGTTTTTATACAAGTACTGGTAGGACTATCTCTTTGGAAACTGTTCATTTATTGGTGTCAAGTGCATTCGATTTTACAGGACCTTTCTAAGAAATTGAAAGGTCCAAGCTGGCACACGTTCTTTCTATTTACTATAGAGATGGCAAAAACACTTGGCGATGTGCAGAGTGTCAAGGTTATTCAGCGAAATTTGAAGCCTGACCACTTCGTGATGCTTAGTAATTTGATTGGGTGCTAATCATTTTTCTTTCTAACCTGGATTTTTATGCTAACTATTTCCATGATTGATTTAGATTGGATAATGGAGATGATAAACGGCGATCCTTTCTAAATCGATTTGTTGGCGTGTCGATTGGGGCAGCACTATCGATGCGAATCCCTCGTTGGGTCACACTTTACTGGCAAGGCGGGAACAGAGGAGTTCAACTGTTCTGGGGTGCTGGTATAGCAACATCAGCATCTTGTTTTGTGTAATTTCTTGACAAGCAACATATTGTTATGTGTCATTGTCATGTACATCGTTGGACGATAATGACGTAGAAGGTTAGATTAATACAGTGTTTTATCCCTTGCAACTGATGTTTTTCCGCTTCCATAGGCAGTTGTTCATAAGTTGGTCTTAAGAAGTCACAACACATTCCAAAGATTTGGACTAAATATGCTTTCCACTTTGAGAATTGCTATGTCTCAATTATTCTAATGTATGTATGAAATGTCATAGATGCGTTGCAGCAAATGCTACACTTTCCGACACCACGCCGTCGATAAATATCGATTGCCAGTGAGTCGTACTTTACTCATTCGCAATAACAAGTTTTGTTTGAGGTAATCTTATCCAGTTATCCTGTAGATTGATCTCATCTAATCTGTTCTTTGCAGAATATTCATGTCAGAGGAATCGAGCCAGCAATTTAGCAATCGTTTTATGGCTTGAGACGAAAGCCGCTTCACTCTTGCAGCGTACCATCTCATACGGACTTCAGAAATGTCAGTCACAAATGAGTGTGTGACAAACGTTGTTCTTTTGCTACTCTCACAAAAATGGATGGTATATTCCGGTTGCGAATATTATTGTTTTTCCGTTTTTCATACTTTCTATTCAGGTGATGAATTTCTGGTCCTTACTGGAGCTGTCGCGACTTGGTACATCGGCAAAAGTAGCATTTTCAACTTGATTTGGCGCATTTCTGAGTTTTATTAAGGTATTTGTTACGCATGGTTTTGTTTTCTTACTATCAGAGATCCTCAAATGCCTGACGCTAATTGGCGGTCGATCCTTTGTCTTACAGGTGGAAACTTCCTTTCCACTAATACGGTTTGCATGATCACACACATGCTTCTTACATCTCATGTGACAAAGGTATTTCTATGTACACTTTAAAGATGTTGGGGAGAGATGCGTAAATCTGGAATGCTTAGGTGACCGCCAAAGCTGAATCGCGTCTAGGACTTTTGCGTGACGAAGTCGAAGTCAGCTTTCACGGTATTCCGAAACAAACGGTTTGCAGTCATTCACTATTGTTTTCTCTTTGGTATTTCTTTTTTCTTTTGCTATTTTGTTCAGCATAGTAGTGATTGTCACAAATATGGGTCAAACTTTTCGATCTGATCGTAGAAATTGGTGCGAATATTCTGAGAATATACTTGGATTATATCGTTTATTTGTAATTGGTTTTTCAGATTCGGAATTGCATCAGAGCTAGCGATTCGTTGCTTATACTATGCACAGTTGAGCTACAGCTAGACGCGAAATGTGGCCGATAAGGACAGTGTCCAACAAGTAAAATTAATATCAGAGGTAGCTGAACTTCACACGAAAATGGTAGGTATTTTATAGCTCGTTTGTATTGAGCAATAATCTCACTTTGATAAAATTCACAATAACTTTTCGATTTACTCTAAATTCGGTGGTAAGTTGTTTGAAAGTAAGCAATAAAATTTCTGAAATTAATGAAGTGGTCTGCCTTCTTCGTCTTTACGTCATCCAACACTTTTTCCAGCCGTTGTCTTGTAGTCGGTCACGAAGCCAGTTAAAATTATTTGGAAGAAAAAATAAATAAACAGCTGACCATTTTCGTTATTATGTAATCTCCAATGTGACACTTACAGAGCTTGCGATGCCGGATCCCGGGAACTCTGTGTATTCCCATCTCAATGTTGTTGCTGGGTTTGGTCACAATCGGATGTTATTATGGTCGCTACTAGAGCTGTCGCGACTTGGTATGTTGGCTCAAAGTGCCATTTTCAAGTCGATTTGATGCATTTTTGAGTTTTTTAAGGTATTTGTTGTGCATGGTTTTGTTTTCTTACTACCAGGCATCTTCAAATCCCTAACGCCAATTAGTGGCTGATCCTTTGTCAAGGAGGTGGAAAGTTCGTTCACGCCGTTATTGTGTACACCGTCGTACACATGCTACATCTCATGTGACAAAGGTATTTCTATGTACACTTTAAAGATGCTGGGGAGAGATGCCTAAATCTGGAATGCTTAGATGACCGCCGAAGCTGAATCGCGTCTAGGACTTTTGCGTGTCGAAGTCGAAGTCAGCTTTCACGGTATTCCGAAACAAACGGTTTGCGGTCATTCACTATTGTTTTCTTCTTGGTTTCTTCATTGCTATTCTGTTTAGCACAGTTGTGGTTGATCTACAACTATAGATCAAAATTTTCGATCTGATCACAGAAATTGGTACGAATATGCTTAGAATGCACTGGATTCTGTCGATTATGTATGATTAATTTTTCAGGTACGGAACTTTATCACTGGAAGGATAGTGTACCACCAATAATGCTAATGTCAGAGGAGCCTGGACTTCGCTCGGAAATGGTTGGTATTTTATAGCCCGCTTACGTTGAGGAATATTCTTACTGTGGTAAAATTCGTAGGAAGTTTTCAGTGCACACTAAATGCGGTGATAAGTTATTTGAAAATAAACGACAAAATATTTGAAACTAGTGAAATGGTTCGTCTTCGCGTCATGGAGGTCCAGCGCTTTTTTCACTCGTTATCTTATGCTCGGTACCGAAGCAAATATAAATGGTGTAGAAGAAAAAATAAATGGATAGCTGACCATTTCTGTTATTTGTAAGTGCCAATGTGACATTTACAGTCCTTGGGATGTTTTTGCCGGATGCCGAGAACTCTGTGTATTTCGGTTTTAATGTTACTGCTGGATTTGGTGACAATCGAGTGGTATTTTCCACACACAAATACAAGCTTGTCGCTCATTCAGATGTTCATAGTGACGTGCTCCAGCATGACACGAAAGAACGCAAGGTTAGTCAATTTATAGGGCTTCGAATTAGATAAGCACTAGTGTTTAACTCAGCTGAAAGAATAAATTACTTGTGAAAGTGCTATTCGATATTGTGATTTGCTTATGACTTGTCGGACGGGAAGAGAAACTTTAATGTTGATTTAAATTAGTGTTTGCTGAGACAAACGAGATTTTCGAGAGAACCATTTTCTATTTTTCGAGGTTTCTTTTGGACCGACGTGCTTAGGAGGTGCATGGAATTCTTCCAAGAAACGCTATCACACAGATGGCTTTAACATTTTTTTGCTTCACTTGTAAAAGGCTTAATATAAATTATGAAGCTTGTACTTTTTTCCAAGTAAAAGCGATGAGCTACGTCGAATCGGATCTTCTTCGTTAAGGCACAGTCCTTGTGTTACGTTATTAAAGAAATAGGGTTAAGACGATGAGTTGATCTTTTTCAATAGTAGAGGGATTTTTTGTAATTCATTCCAGGTGGATATAAATTGACATGGCGCGTTCAGTTCGGAGTCATGGCAAGCGCTGGCAGATCGAAATCCGAGACTGAGCGCTTCCATAATGGTGCGCATGAATGGCTTAGCCATTGTGGTGCCACTTTGACTTTCTCTAACTGTGATGAAAAGCCGACTATATCGGTCGGAATTCCCTGCTCAAGGTTATATAAATCTATTTGTTGTATTCTTTCTTGATAAGCCTGACGAGGTTGATAAATATATTTATTTTCGGCTAACGTTTCGACGTCTTCGTCTTCCTCAGAGCCGATGGTCCGAGTCGATGGTCCATGATTGTTGTTCGTCTCGACGTTGCAGCTTCGCCTTCGTGTCGAATCAGGTCTTCCTCAGTGAGCCATCTTCTCGAATCGAATGAGGCATCCTCACTCAGTGTTGCCCTTTTATACACGATGCTGATGGTGGATATACAATGATAATGTCCGGTGGTAACAGCTTGTATTTCTTCCGGGCATACATCGTTGCGCACATCGTGCAGAAGTCGGTGTTTTTATCAGCTAGCACAAAGCTATTTGTTGTCTATTTGTTGTAGTTTAAGTATTTTTCTTCACGTGTAGGATTTGCTGCTTTGTTGTTGTCTTGTTTAAACACAGCTTCTTTACGTTATACTATGTTATAGAAATTGGTATCTTAGCTGTAGTAATATATATATATTTTTGTACGTGACTGTCATGCTGTACAGGTCGCAGTTTCTCATTGTTTCTGTTTCTTAATGGTTCAACTTTTTGTTCAAAATTTTGGAAATAAATCTATTCGCAACCAATTGAATACGTGAAGAATATCAACTATTCGAATGACATGCTTTTTTTTCCAACTATATTGATCATAAAGGGGGATGTCGCGCAGTGGTCGGAGGCGCCCTGCAATACACATGGCATCGATTCCCGCCGGCAAGGTTCACTAGGCCTTCCTTCCCTCCAGGGTTGGCAGATTGGTACCAGACTTGCCTAGGAGGATAGCACGATTGGCCTGATACATCGGTAGGCCACCGCAAGTTATTGTGAAGGCCAGATATGCGTTCAATCAGTTCCAACGATAGTAAATGAAGTCGAATGCATGGCGCATCTCTCAGGGATTGATTAAAGCCGGGAGCATCCTTTATCCTTTATATAAAACGACGTCGTAGAGTAGCCGAAATGGGAACATTTTGCCCACTAAGGTATATCTATGGAACTAGAGGGGGATATCCTGTCCTTATTAAAGCCAGCGACGTTGAGGCCTTTGTTAATAAGAGCCTCCTACCTACACAGATTCAGAAGTTTACTCTGGAAAATATATAGAGTAATGCCTGCTTTGGAAATCTTCGCCATCTGTGCGCTAAACTACGACGATGATATGATGAAGAAATTGTTTCCTGTATCGAAGCTCTGCAGGAAACGATCATGCAATTCAGTCGTCCAATGGAAAGTAATATGATGAAACATACAGCATCATAGTAAATCCAGCGTTCTCCATAATCGGTGCTGTTGTTGTTCCAACGTTTCATACGGAGTCGACTTATCGTATTAGTACGGCTCGCTTTAAAGAAGGAATAGAGGCAAATTTGCGAAGATGAAGAAAGCAGTTCCCGAAACCAGCATAAATTAATAAATGCATGTGGACGGTGTTTGAGAAAGTACCGATATTACATCGCTGGTGACAAAAACAATAGCACCAGTGAGAAACCCTACCGGCATATTTAACACTCATGCGATGGTTCAGAAAACCAAACTCGAAATTATCAAGCACACAACTCGGATTCTTCCGCGCTTACACCCTCATGGTGCACCGCATGGAGCTTTCCTAACATCTCTTTTTAACTAGGGCTCTGCTCCATCACTTTGCAAAGTCTTGCAATTCTGTACACTGATTGCTGCCTGTGCATCATGCGATCTACTTACTTTATGAAGTATCTATAGAATGAAGTACTATATGAGGTTTTAGAGGTTGAAAAATAGTAACTGTAACAGCCGCTGGCAGAGGACAGAAGCGTCACTGGAGATGTTGTTTATAATAGCCCAGTTTGTAGTCCACTCACGCTTCTGCAGCTCAAATGTATAGATTCTCCTTGTCCTATGAGTGTTGTTACTCAGTAAACGGCACCGCTTTCCTACTTTGCCTTGGATACCTATCATCAATTATACGTGGGTGGAAATTGTTGTCTTTTCCTTGTTGTTACGTTGACCGTGTACAGAATCCTTCGCACTATTGCTAACGTGCTCTCTATAAAACATCGAAAAAATGAGAGCTGCCTAAGCAGGATAAAAATGAATGCCATTAGCACTATCTAGTGTTAGTTGAGGAGGGAACGATAAGAAATTTGAGTTGAAGGTTCCCTGTTGTGCACTTTACATCGTGTGGAGAGCAGTCGTGGATTCTTTTTGCTGTAGTGTCATTGATTTTTTATCGTCCCCTCCTCAACTAACACTAGATAG